TTAATTGCTGGAGACTCCACCCAAAACCTAGCTGAGAGATTGAGGGCTATTCTGCTGAGATTCCGAAAAACAGGCCTCAAGCTAAAAAAGGACAAATGTAAAATTGGGGTGCTTTCTACAGATTTTCTGGGGTTCAAAATTGATGCCAATGGGATTCATCCTGCTGAGTCCAAATTAAGAGCCATCACTCCTAGACCTAAGTCCAAAGTTGAACTGCAAGCTTTTCTGGGACTTTTGAATTTTTACAATTCATTCATTCCTAACAAGGCTAATGTAGCTGAACCACTTCATAGACTTCTGGACAAACAGCAGTGTGGGAATGGTCACAAGCACATGAAGCTAGTTTCAATAAGGTTTTGCTAACATCCAACAGTGTGCTTGCACATTTTAATGAAACTCTTCCTGTGTGCATCGCTTGTGATGCTTCTCCTTATGGCGTAGGAGCTGTACTCAGCCATCTTAGACCTGATGGAACTCAGGTTCCTGTTGCTTATTACTCCAGAACCTTGTCCTCTGCTGAGAGGAACTATCCCCAGATTGACAGGGAAGCCTTAGCTGTTGTTGCTGGAATTAAAAAGTTCCATGATTTCTTATATGGCAGACATTTCACGGTCTACACTGACCATAAGCCTCTGTTGGGGTTGTTCACAACTAACAAACAGACTCCTCATATCATATCCCCCAGAATGCTCAGATGGTCAATATTCCTGTCAGTATATGACTTTTCCTTAATTCACAAACCTGGCAAAGAAATGGGCCATGCTGATGGCCTCAGTAGATTACCCTTACAGGTTGTTGAGGCTGACCCCGCCCCGGCAATCAACATCCTTTCAATTCAGGCACTGCCTGAGTCACCTCTCAACGCCAGGGATGTGGCTGCTGAATCAGCCACAGATCTCACACTCTCTCGTGTCTTATCCTGGGTTTTGTCCAGATGGCCGGAGAGCTGTCCAGGTACTGAGTTTCAGAGTTTCTGTCTAAAAAGGAACGAGTTGTCCACTTTCCACAGTTGCTTGCTGTGGGGTAGCAGAGTTGTCATTCCTACCTCAATGAGGTCTAGAGTCTTAGGATCCCTTCACGAGGGTCATCCTGGCATTGTTCGAATGAAGGCGCTTGCACGCAGCCACTTGTAGTGGCCCAGGTTAGATAAGGAAATTGAGGCTAAGGTGCATGCTTGCCACCTTTGTCAACGTTCACACCCAGAAATGCCTCAGGCTCCCGTACATAGGTGGGAAGAAACACAGTCTCCATGGTCTAGGGTGCACATTGACTACGCTGGGCCCTTTCAGGGTCAATTCTTCTTGGTCCTGGTTGATAGCTATTCAAAATGGCTTGAGGTTGTACCTGTCTCGTCCACCACCACTGCAAAGACTATCCAAGTACTGTGGGGAATTTTTGCTGCACACGGGCTCCCGGATGTTTTGGTGTCTGACAATGGCCCACAATTTACTTCTTCCGAATTCCAAGCTTTCTTACAGGCCAACATGATTCGTCATGCCACTTCTGCACCTTTCCATCCTTCCACCAACGGGATGGCTGAACGGATGGTCCGCATCACCAAGGATGCTTTAAAGAGACTGACCTATGGGGACTGGCATCACAGGTTGGCTGACTTCCTCCTTGCTTACCGCACTATACCGTCCACTTCTACCGGGAGGAGCCCAGCTGAACTTTGTTGGGGGCGCAAACTGATTACTAAACTTGACCGGTTGCACCCGGACAGACTGCCGCCTAGGGGTACACAACCCAGGGCACTGCGGCAATTGCAAGTGGGTGCCCCAGTATGGACCCGTAACTACGGGCCAGGCCATTTATGGGTTCCTGCCACTGTTTGCAAGTTACAGGACCTTTGTCTTATGAGGTCTCCTTGGAAGACGGTCGTATTCTACGACGGCATATTGACCAGCTGCGCACAAGGCTGGACGCACCTGCAGAGACTCCTGGTTCTTTTCCAGGGGGGAAGGGGACCCCTACGGGCAAAGGGAAGGGTGTTGGCAGAATTCAGACTCTCACAGTGAGGCCACAGACGGCCTATTGCAAGATTCCGCAAGTGTTCCAAACAGGAATTCAAGGGAACCAGTTAGCGCACAGGCTACAGTGCAGACTCCAGCCAGGGAGTCACCCCGGGGGCATAATCATTACACACTTACACCTTTCAGCACTCCAGTTAGGGAGAATAACCGGGAGCATCCTAATAACTCAAACATTGCAAGAGAGCTGGCACACAATCAATACAATTGGCCCAACATAGTCACAGTTCCCAGAGAAGGACACTGCCACAGGGAAGTGGGAGAAGGGCCAATTTTAGACACTGAACCCTCTGGTACAATGGAGGGGGCAACTGAGTTTTGGGACAATGCTGAAATAACAGACAGTCCTCCTATGGAACTGGGAAGTGGAGGAAGCCAGTCTCACGTTAGGTCCAGCGTGGGCTTGAGAGGCCATTCAGATGGTAGCTTAATAGAAGGGCCAGATCGCCTGCAACTAGACAGGTCAACCAGGTTAGAGAGAGAGCAAAGTCCTGGCCTGACGAGTGGGCAAGCAAGCAGGTCAGGCATCAGGGCACGGTCCACAGGGGCCACCAGGGTCTGAGAAGGGGGGTGAACCTATAACCTCCACGGGACAAGGTGTACTTGGAAATCATCCAGGCCTACGCAGGTCACAGAGAGATAAGAGGTCTCCCAAATATCTTGAAGATTTTATAACCTTATTGGCCAGGCAGAAACAATAAGAGCGTGCTTCTATGAAAGCCAGAAAAGGAAACACTGGGAGTAATGCCCAGAACAATAGCTTGGTACCTCGAGCAAAGTGGATTTACCACACTCGTGTTGAGGTCGCGTTAATTGTTCATGTAGTCTTAGCCGGGGGGGGGGAGGAGTGTTGTGTCCTGAGCCTGCGAAGGCAGGCTTGGGACGTTGCAATGGTCCCGGGCAGCTGCAAGCTGCCTGGGACCAGACTGGTCGGCGCCAGCCTCGTGCGCATGCGCGAGGCGCTCAGCGCGCCAAAATGTATCTTTTTGGCCCGGGGAACGTCCTTAAGAGAGGCTGAGAGATCTGTGCTGCCTTGAGTTGTAACGGGGCTACTGAAGACCAATAAAGCGTTCCTGAAACAACAAGAATATCTCGCGCCGTCATTGCCATTAACCGAGGACTCAACAGGCTCCACAATCATCTGTTCCAAAGCTTAGAATAACAATGTTTTAATCTAATTTAGTATGTGTGGGAGCTGCACAAATCCTTGGGAGGTTATTATTTCAGAGGACAGGTGCTGCAAACCATTCCTCCTGGGTCTTGCACTATTTGATGGATAAAGTGTATCCACCCTGCTGGATAACACAGAATAGGCAGAAACAATTGGAAATAACTAGCCCCCTCAGATAGCCAGGCCCTATGACTTGCAAGACATTAAAGTAATCATCTGGTACCTTGAATTACACCCAGCAGACAAACAGCAACCAGTGCATCTCGCAAAGCAGCAAAATCAGGTAAGCCTAAGGCACCTTAAAAGGATCCAGATGAGGGAAATCTTGTTTATAGTTTCTCTTCTGGTGCCTCATTGTCAGCCTTCACAGATAAACTAGACAGGAGATATGACCAGATGCGCTAATTCTACTTTATTGTAAGGCTACATTAGCAGAATTTTACAGTTCTGAAAGTACAAATCTCTACTTAACAAGAAGCAAGAGAAAGTCCCTTCCTAATCTCTTTCTCTACCATTATCGTATGAAATGTTAGTACACTATCTTTATTATAAAATTCCATTGAACAGAATTTTGCATTCGCCATTTTTGGCTTTGGGGAAGTCACTCTCTCCCAGCCGAACTATATTAAGAGGCTGCTTCTGTAGAGAAGTATTAGAAACCAAAGTCCTGTGTGCAGGTAGTCCCCGGCTTACAACCATTCATTTAGCGACCGTTCAACATTACAACGGCACTGAAAAAAGTGATCTATGACTGATCCATTTGTGCGTGTGTGTCTGTGTGTGTGTGTGTGTGTGTTTGGCAACCTGCATGTATTTACAACAGTTGCAGCCTCCTTGAATCAGGTGATCACCCATTTGGGATCTTCCCAGCTGGCTTCTAACAAGCAAGTCAATGGAGAAAGCCAGATTCGCTTAACAACCACAGGATTCATCTAGCAATTGCAGTGATTCACTTAACAACCATGGCAAAAAGGTCGTAGCCTCAACTTAGCAACCATTTGTTTAGAAATATTGGTCCTAACTATGGTCGTACGTTGAGGACTACCTGTATGTTCCTCTTTGAGGAAAGGCATGATACAAATATAAACTGACAGCATTGTTCACATATTAGACCCATGCAATACTGTTCGTTACAAGTGCTGATAGCAACAAACTGATCTTCGGCCAAGATCTCAAACATGCTAAACAGAGTTGGACCCAATTAGTACATGAATAGGAGATACCAGGATTATCAGGACTGTAGACTAGACTAGGGGGGAAAAATACTGAAATATGGCATCAGAATAAAAGTGACAGGTTTAATGTAATCACCAGGACTTCATCTCTCAGCTTGAGGGATTTTGATTTTACCTTGTAAATGCTGCTTAGAAAATGGTTACAGCTTAAATGTACTCTTAATAAATACTTTATCATTACCCAAAGGTAATTGCTAGGGCTTCTGAAAAAAAATAAACTGATTTACTAACTGAAAACAAAATGCTATGATAATTTCTTCAGAGAGATAATCACCTCTTTGCTTACCGGGAATATATATAGAAAGTCACCCTATGCAAAGAAAGCTGCTGAAGAAACAAATGAGAAGCAGGGTCCCCCACCCCACCCCACCCCCAGATCAGAAGCTTATTCCCAAGTCATGGTGCTAGTGTTAATTAAATAAAAAATAAAAAAGCTGGGACTGTAATTTATCATCTTTGATTTTAAAATGAGTCTTGTGTCACCTTGAAGACTAATATATGTTACCCATTATACCATATGTTTTCTTGGATGGATGCAGACCATGAAAAGCTTGTGTCACTCACACTTTCTTAATCTTTAAGGTGACACGGTGTCTGTTTTGCTTTTGCTGCAATAAGTTCAGGTGGTTGCCATTCAAAAGTTTTTTTTTCCCCTTTGGCAGCTTTGGAAGGTCGAAAGGAGAAGACTAAATAACTTCTGCTTCTCCCTTCTTCCTCTTCTCTCTTCTCCTGCTGCTCCCTTCTCTTTCTCCTCCTTCTCCTTTTCTTTCTTCTCCTTCTCTTTCTACAAAAAGGGTAAAAGGTGGATCAATCAGCCGGGCATCAATACCTGGGAAGATCCTAGAAAAGATAATCAGTTTGTGAGCATCTAGAAATGAAGAAGACAATTAATAGAAATCGGCATGTTTGTCAAAAATAGATCATGCCAGACAAACCTTTGGATAAGAGAAATGCTGTGGACATAATTTATTTAGACTTTAGTAAGACATTTGAAAAGTAGACCATTATCTTACCTTTGTAAGATAGAACAATGTGGGATAGGCAGCACCACCTCACTCAACAGGGAGTCCTCAATGGAACTACATCTACATGGAGGGAAGAAGGTTCTGTGTTAGGCCCAGTGCTCTTCAACATCTTTATAAATGATATAGATGAGGAGATAGAGGGGAATAGCTAACAATTTAGATGATAGACTCAAGATTCAGAAATACCTTGACAGACTTGAACCGTGGGCCGTATCCAATAAAATGCTATTCGGTGATGAGAAAAGTAAAATCCTGCACATAGGGAAGACAAACCAAGTGCACAGATATAGAATAGGTGGTATTTGGCTCAACAGCTGTGAGAGAGATTTAGGTGTCCTAGTGGACAATCACTTAAATATGGGCCAGCAGTGTGCTGCAGCTGCCAAAAAAGCCAATGCAATTCTAGGCTGCATCAACAGAGGGATAGTTTCATATTACCCCTAGTCCTGCTCTTTGTTAGACTAGACATACTTAGTTCTCTCAATTGTTCATCATATGGGCTAGCCTCCAGACTCCTTATCATCTTGGTTGCTCTCCTCTGCACTCTTTCTACAGCCTGAACTTCTTTTTTATACCATGGTAACCACAAATGGACGCAGTATTCTAAGTGTGGTCTCACCAGTGGGATATAAAGCAGTACTATCACTTCACATGAACTTGAAATTTCCTGACAGTGAGAACAATTAATCAGTGGAACGGCTTGTCTCTGGAAGTTGTGGGTGCTTCATCACTGGAGATTTTCAAGAAGAGACTGGACAGTCATTTGTCTGGAATGGTATAGGACAGGGATAGGCAACCTTGGCTCTTTTATGACTCGTGGACTTCAATTCCCAGAATTCCTGAGCCAGCCATGCTGAGGGGAAAATGAGAGTTTCCAAGCTGAGCCATGCTGGCTCAGGAATTCTGGGAGTTGAAGTCCACGAATCATAAAAGGGCCAAGGTTGCCTACCCCTGGTATAGGACATCCTACCATGTGCAGCAGGTTGGACTAGAAACTCTCCAATGTCCCTCCAGCACTGTTGTTTGATGTTCTATGTTCTATCTTTATAAAACCCTAGTGAGACTGCACCTGGAATACAACCAATTTTGGTTACCATACTACAAAAAAGATGTTGAGACTTTGGAAAATGTGCAGAGAAGAGCAACTAAAATAAACAGCAGCATTGATTTAAAGGAAGTCCCAGAGGGACTAGTGTCATAAATTGCTGATGTTGTGAGAATTTAAAGTAAATCTTCAAAGATTCCCTTATTCAGGCAAATTATGCTAAGAACCTTAATATTTTCCAGGATATTTCAATTCAATTCAATCCAATCAGAATAGAGCTGGAAAGGACCTTGGAAGTCTTCTAGTCCAACCCCCTGCTCAAGCAGGAGACCCTATACCATTTCAGACAAGTGGCTGTCCAGTCTCTTCTTTAAAACTTCCAGTGATGAAACACCCACAACATCTGAAGGCAAGCTGTTCCACTAGTTAATTGTTCTGTTAGGAAGTTCTCCTTAATTCCAAGTTGCTTCTCTCTTTGGTCAATTTCCAACCATTATTTCTTGTCTTGCCTTCTGGGTGCTTTGGAGAATAATTTGACCTCCTCTTCTTTGTGGCAGCCCCTCAAATACTGGAATTCTGCTATCATGTCACCCCTATTTCTTCTTTTCTCTAGATCAGCCTTTCTTGCAACCGTTCTTCAAATGTTTTAGTCTCCAGGCCTTTAATCATCTTAGATGCTCTTCTCTGCACTTTTTCAGAAGTCTCAACATCTTTTTTGTAATGTGTTGACTAAAACTGGATGAACTATTCCAGGTGTGGTATTACTAAGGTTTCATAAAGTGGTACTAATACTTCACGTGCTTTTGTTTCTATGCCTCCGTTTATACAACCCAGGATTCTATTAGTTTTTTTGCCTGTTGCTTCATACTACTTACTCATATTTAAGTGATGGTTCACTAGGACTCCAAGGTCCCTCTCACAGTTACTGTTTTTGAGCCATATTTCGCCTAATCTGTACTTGTACCTTTGGTTTTCCCTGCCTAAATGTAAAGCCTTGCTTTTCTCCACATTAAATTTCATTTTGTTGGATAGAGCCCATTGTTCAAGTCTATCAAGATCTTTTTGGATCCTGAGCATGTCTTCTGGGTGTTGGCTATTCCTGCCAGCATGACACTTCTGAAAAGGACTATTTCATTATAGTACCACTATATAGGAAAGAAGGGAGGGAGGGAGGGAGGGAGGGAGAGAGGAAGGAAGGAAGGAAGGAAGGAAGGAAGGAAGGAAGGAAGGAAGGAAGGAAGGAAGGAAGGAAGGAAGGAAGGAAGGAAGGAAGGAAACAATTGGGTTCCTTACACTATTCTTGACTCTTTTATATTGTGAAAGCACCAATAACCTTCTATGACTTGAGCAAAAAAGTGAAAGACTGCTTTGGCATTTAGACAAGGCTTATATTAAACTAATTAGACATTGGTTTATATGAATACACTGGGTGTGTCCTTCACTAAGGCAGTGTCTATCCACGGTTAGTAGGTCATATAGAAAAGCCTTTAAACTTCTTAGCAAAATGTTGCTGTGAAGAGAGTAGGCTTCATTTAAGCCTATTTTTATTGGCTTCTTCAAGCAATCTTATTTATTTATCTATCTAATTTATATATATAGCCACCCATCTCAGAAGAAGTGACTCTGGGTGGCTTATAACATGTTAAAATGTGTTATTGAGAATATTCCCCAAACATTATTTAATCAGAATACTGAAAACACTAGCACGGAATGGCAACATATAATTTGTGTGTTCTTTTCTAGATGTCTTCTATTTATCTCAAGTCTAAATCTGAAATCTAAAAGATGAGTGTGTCTTTCAGTCTAGGCATGCTCCCTGTGTTGTTGGTCAGCAATAAACAGACTATTTCAATCAAAGCTTCCTTTTTCCTTCATGGATATCTCTCCAAACTTCAGCTGTTTTTTCCCCACACATGCTTATATATATTTCCTATGCCAGCTGCCTCACATTCCAACACAGAGATAGAATCAGAGCTATGTATTATCCATTAGTTCCCTTTGAGGAAACATCAACCCACGTATCCACATCTAACAAAAATTTATTTATGTGATCATTATCTCATTCTTTTACTATCTGAAAGAATATGGGCAGATTATAAAGCCATCTAAAGTATTTATCCTGACAACAATAAAAATTAATAAGCAGGACATACCGTAAAAGACACACGAATAAAAACTTACCAATATCCCTGCCTAATTATTTGTTAAATTGTATTTATTTGTTAACTAGTAAATTTTACAAATAAATAAGTAAATAAATAAATAATATTTGCTGCCTGTCCTAGACAGCTTACAATAATAAAAAGAAAGAGATGAAAAGAGTGTAAACAAAACAAAAGTAAAATTATAGAACAATAAAATAAACAATGAAAAAAGCAAAGAGAATACCCCAATATGATAACCAAAGATGGGTGGGTGGGGAGAACAGAGCAAGGGGAGAGGTGGAATCTGCCATCAATCCACCTCGGAATGTATTTTAAAAATTACTGGGAGAAAATTTAAAATTAGAGTGCAGATGTCAACCAGGCAATATAAAGGACATTGCTGAAATCATTTATGTTATGTTCTGTGTTTTATGTATATATGTAGTTATAGTTTCCGCTTGTGGGAGTGGAGATGTAGATGAAAAGTACGGTATGTTGATATATTGAGTTCCTTTGGGCTTAAATCTTTTGGCTTAATTGCTTGCTAGGATAAAATTTAAATGTTTTTGTTTTTCCATGTAGGGCCAAAACCAAAAGTGTACCCTTGTTTTCTGTGAAATCTTTCTAGAGAGGATGTATCAAATGACATTTGGGAATATAAAACATAAAATGAATGGATGTTTCAAATAGAAAATGTTAAGGATCTTGGGCTCCCTTAGCTTATAAGGGAAAACATCCCATATCTTTAATCCAGCACAGAGTTTAATGAGCCATCTTAAATGCAAAGGAACAAATGCTGAACGGAAGAAATTAAAATATATTCAGGAGATGGCTACATGTATGCAAACATTGCATACAAAAATTTAATATGCATGTACAATATATAGGCACCCCTTAATCCATTAGCTTCTAACTCCAGGGCCCAGCTGGGTGTTTCCAGATGTGTCATCTGGACATCTGCAGAAAGGGAGGTTCAAAATATCAATCTAGTGGCCACAACGTCAATCAAAACCCTGCCCTTTTTGTGTGCAAAATGCATGTCTGAAACTTTGTGCGGTTGTGACTGCTTTCTTGGCTTTTTTATATCATCTATGGACACTTCTTAGGTCAAATAACAACTTCAATAATCCCCAGCTTTTTTCCCATTCAAGATTTAGAAGGAATGTTACTCTTTTCATCCCTGTTCCTGCATTAAAAGTAACTGCTTGTAAAGGAAGTCCTTGACTTATGGCCACAATTGAACCTCAAATTTCCGTTGCCAGGCGAGGCAGTTATTATGATCTTTATTGCCATAATTGTTAAGCAAATCACTGTATAGGTGTAGGAGATGACCAGGCTGAGCCTGAGGGAGAGATCAAACATGTCATTAGTCATGAGTCCCTTCACACCTGTAAGAGATCTAAGTCCAGCCCATCTTGAATTCCTTTGACTCTTATCTACCACCGATTGGCTTTGACTGTTAGTAGTTCAGATTCTTGTAAGCTTGCAATAAATCTTCATATTCATTTGAACTGCTTGGATTTTCTGAGTTCCCTGCGGCTCGACACACTGCAGTTGTTAAGTGAATTATGCAATTGTTCAGTGAATCTGTTAACCTTCCCAGCTGGCTTCTGACAATCAAAGTCAATGGGGGAAGTCAGATTGACTTAACACAGTTGTGTTAAGGTCCAAGGACTACCTATATTTATATTATAAGTCAAGGACTATCTGTACTTAGATTAGACATTAGCCCAGTTATGTAAGGCCAGGATTTGCTTCAGGAGGTCACTTTAGGTTGCTGTGATTGCCCCTAATGTCATCATGGACATGTCCACACCATCTAATGAAATAATAAGACCCAACAGCATCTAAAAACAAAATGAATCTTTTTAAAAAAACATGCTTTTCTTTCAAGGTGACTTTTCCCTGAAGCTAAAGAAGAGCTTTTTCAGAAGTGGGCAAAATGTTCTTATGTTTCTTATATAATCTAGTTGATGGAAATGATGCTAAAGAGAATGAGCTCCCCAAGGAGATTTTTGGTAGAACATCTCTCAGTCCAATGAAGCTGATATTTTAGACCCATATTTAAGCTCAGCAGCTCCTTCACCAACACTTATCCCGTGGTCCAATTATTGTGAAATTCCTTTACAATTTACACTTCACAGACTATACCGACCGAGAGATTTAAGCTAAAGCTCTCAAATAAAACTTGACTTATAAGGCTGATCTTTTTTATAATAATAACACCCCCAAAACAGAAATGTAGTCATGAGGGAATATATTTCCTCATTTCCTTCAGTACTTCATAACTTTCAGCAATGATGACAGGCAGTCACAAAGAGTCAGGAAAGGTACAATGAGTTATACAGAGGAGAATGAGAATTATTTTCAATTCTCAGACAAATAAAAGGATCAGAATAGGAATTATGCTGTAAAACTCGATATGAAAAAAAAAACAGGATTGAAAAACTGAAAGGAATCAACCTACCGCAGATCTGGGGTCAGGGTGGAGGGAAAAGCTTTATATAAAATTACTTCTGCACCACACAACGAATGTTCATGTTAGCAAGATTCAACTTCCAGAATTCCTGAGCCAGCATGGCTCAGCTTGGAAACCTCTTCCTTTCCCCTCAGTCAGCATGGCTGACTCAGGAATTCTGGGAGTTGAAGTCCACAAGTCATAAAAGAGCCAAGGTTGCCTACTCCTGTCCTAAACCCTAACCTTTTTTGTATGTGTGTGTCTCTGGTTGTAAATTAATAAAGGATTTTTTTTTTTTACTTAGACATCGGCAATTTCCCCCTCAAAGACTGCTCGTGTCTTTTATTTATTTCCCCTTTTTTGATATTTTTTTTATTTTATTTCCAAAGTTAAAATACAAACTTCAACAAAAAAGGGGAAACAACAACAAACAAAGCAAAAATAAACAAGACAAAAATGTGCATAAAAAACAAACATAGACATATATTATCAACGTGGTTGAATACTGATTAATATATTGCAACAATAATAGTTTCCCCCCCCCTTCCAAAGCTGGTCTACACTTTATAAACTTCTGCAATTTTATTTACTCAGCTACTTTGACCTTCCGTCTATTTACTGTAAAAGAAAACATTTGACAGGTAAACCCTGAAACAAAACAAAACTTCCCTCACATTCTGATAACACTCCTACCTAGAGCAGGGGTAGGCAACCTTGGCTCTTATGACTCATGGACTTCAACTCCCAGAATTCCTGAGCCAGCATGGCTGAGCTTGGAAACCTCTCCCTTTCCCTCAGCATGGCTAGCTCAGGAATTCTGGGAGTTGAAGTCCACGAGTCATAAAAGAGCCAAGGTTACCTACCCCTGGCTAGAGTATTGAGCAAGTTCACACAGTACTTCCTGCTATTTACTGTTGTAAACATTGTTGTTTCCTGCAAGAGCTGATGTCCAAACCCCTAAATTCTGAGTTACAGTATTTACAGACATTGTTGGTTTCCTATTTATCATTTATCATTTTTAGCATTCCCCCCAATTTATGGTTGGCCTCCATCCTGCTGCTTTTTTGAAAGGTCCTAAGACATGGTTTTTTGTCAGTGGGCCTGAGGAACATGAATAAAGATGAACTCGGTTAAGTGGCTGCTTTTTCCAAAGCAATAGAAGGCAAGACAAGAAACAATGTATGGAAACTGATCAAGGAGACAAGCAACCTGGAATTAAGGAGAAACCTCCTAACAGTGAGGACAATTAATCAGTGAAACAACTTCCTTCCAAAGATTGTGGGTGCTCCATCACTGGAGGTTTTAAGAAGAGATTGGACAACCATTTATGTGAAATGGTATAGAGTCTCGTGCTTGAGCAGGGAGTTGGACTAGAAGATCTCCAAGGTCCCTTTCAATTCTATTCTGATTGAATTGAATTGAACTATTCTGGAAAATATTAAGAAATGGTTCTTAGTATAATTTGCCTGAATAAGGGAATCTTTGAAGATTTACTATAAATTCTCACAACATCAGCAATTTATGACACTAGTCCCTCTGGGACTTCCTTTAAATCAATACTGCTGTTTACTCTTTTGACAATTTCCTCTTTTTCAGTTGCTTTTAATTTTTTCCTATTTGAGTCTTTTATAAAAATGGTTTTATTTCCTTTCTTGATCAAACAAGTCAATTTAGTCATTTCTGCAAACAAGTTCTCCTTCCACTGTTTTCTGTATTCTGCCATGGGATGGGGTGGGATGATATAGGATATTTATGCATGTTTATGTTGTGATTTTTAATGCAAGTCACCCAAAATCAGCCATATAAACTTGTTTAATAAATAAAGAAAGGGTTGATTTCCTCTTTATTACATTTCCAGTTGCCAGTTTTTAGCAGTTTGCAATTGTTTTGTCATTGGGTTTCACACCACCTCTTCATTGTTATGTGGCATACAGCTGCTTTTGTAAAACAGCTACATTCAAATCTCAGCTATATATCCCACAAGAAGAAAATGAATATAAATGTTATGTACAAGATACACTGTGGACATGTTTAAAAAATTGGACTGCCATGGCCAAACCGAAATACAATAAAATAACTAATGGTCCTAACCACCATTGTTTGAATCTGGTTCAACATTTGGAGCATCATATCACAAAAGAATCACTGTTCAACACAAAATGACACCATTAATATCATTCTGTTAGTATCTCTTTCCACATAAAAAGCACTTCACTTCCCTGGAAAGTGAGTATAGCTGACTTTTTATTATCCATCTTTAAGCACCATCATCTTAAAGTCCAGCTCTCATACAAAAAAAATAATGTCACAGTATTTCCAACATTCAGTAGCTTTTGGTTTAAGCAGAAGTGGGTTTTATCCTGCAACATTGATCAGTTAGCTGAAACTGAGGCTCTCAAATAGTTAGCTAAGATATCCTGAGGGAGAAATTTTGCCAGAAATTTTTAAGGGCCTCACTTCTGTAATTCAGATTGCTTTGGCCTCTGTGGGAAGTGGATAGTGGTAAGATGAATATTTTAATATCTAAGCTGCAAAATGGCAGATGGTGGTAGCAAGGAAATAGAAAAACTCCACCATTTTGCTGCCATCTAGCAATTGTCTGGAGTTTTGCAGCCCAAATGTAGTCATCGTAGACCAGGTTTTCCTAAGTTTGGCAATTTCAAGAGGTGTGGACATCAATAGTTGAAGTCCACACATCTTAAAATTGCCAAGGTTGAGAAACCATCGCCTGGAAGACTCATTTAACACTGTCTTTACCATAAATGTATACATCCATTCTGCACAATGTAACATTATTTCTGGCAAATTGAAGGTATACATGCAAATTTACGTGAGAATATGCCACAGTGTGTTCTGGATTTGCTGCAGAAGAATAACACAACAGTCCATCTGGGAGATATAAGTGGATACAGATAGTCCTCGACTTACAACCACAACTGAGCGCAATTTTTTTGTTGCCAAGTGAGACATTTATTAACTGAGTTTTGCCCCATTTTACGACTTTTCTTGTCACAGTTGTTAAGTGAATCATTGCAGTTGTTAAATTAGTAACCCGACTGTTACGTGAATCTGGCTTCCCCATTGACTTGGCTTGTCAGAAGGTTGCAAAAGATGATCACATGATCCCAGGACACTGTGACTGTCATAAATACAGATCAGTTGCCAAGTGTCTGAATTTTGATCACATGACCATGGGGATGCTACAATGGTCTGAAGTGTGAAAAATGGTCATAACTCACTTTTTTCAGTGCTGTTGTAACTTTGAACAGTCTATAACTGTTGTAAGTCGAGGACTACCTGTAATGTCAGAGAGAAGGGATGTTGGAAGTGAAGTGTCAGAGAAAAAGACATATTTCATGAAAATGTCTCTGTGTGAATATTATGCACTTTACTCCCTGGAGCCTTAAAATGTCAGCATCCTTTTTTTTTGGGGAGATGGCTTCATTTTGTTAATCTTTTATTGCCCCCTGCTGGAAGAAGAGAGAGACGCACACACAGAGAGACAGAGACAAAGAGAAAGACAGAGACAGACAGACAGACAGACAGACTTCTTAAAAGAAATGACAAATAGCTATCTAGCATTGTCATTAGGCACTATATCTACCTCTTCCTATATTTTGGTCAATATCCATTTCAAAACAGAATTATGGAGAATTTGGTGTCACTTTGTGATGCTTAATGTTCTCATACATCTCTCTCCTGCTTAAAAACAGTAAAACATTTCAGTCTTCCCAAGTCCTTCCATGCTACCTATGTATTTGAGGAAATATTCTTCAAATTGTCATTGTAGCATCCCAGGAAACCTGTTCCACTTTTGTTTTTGTTTTTCTCTTTTTCAGACTGATAAATCTCTTATTGGTTGCCTTCAGCAGCTCTTGACAAGACCTCAAGCTTGATTTAGTTTTATAGATTTTCTTTTCATCCCTTGCTAAGGCTTTTTCTTTAGCAGCTGTACTGAGATCACTGTTTTACAGTGCAATCCAATATCTTCTCAGAAATAAGTTCCAGTGTATTATATAACTGCTCAGAAGCTTTACTCAGGGAATTGTGTATAGAATTGTAGCCTTCGTCTTTAATTTCAGCAATGTCAGGCCTCAGGAATGGGATAGAATGAAATGGAATAGAATAGAATAGAATAGAATAGAATAGAATAGAATAGAATAGATCCTTTACTTTCAACCAAAATTGGGACCAGAATTTATGTTGTTAAGCAAGGCACTTGTTAAGTGAGTCACATCCAATTTTACAACCCTTTTTGCCATGGTTGTTAAGTGAAACATTGTTAAATGAATCACATGGCTGTTAAGTAAATCCAGCTTCCCGCATTGACTTTGTTTGTTGGAAGCCAGCTAGGAAGGGCATAGATGGTGATCACATGACCCAGGATGCTTCATGTTTCAACTGCCATAAATAGATGCTGGTTGTCAATTGCCCAAATTTTGATTACATGACCACAGGGATGCTGAGACGATTGTAAATGCGAGGACCAGTTTTTTCAGTGCTATTGTAACTTTGAATGGTTGCTAAACAAATGGTTGTAAGTTAAGCACTACCTGTAAAAGGGGATGGGATGGAGTGGGGTGGGGTGGGGTAGAATAGAGTAGAACAGAGCAGAGCAGAGAAAAGAAGAGAAGAGAAGAGAGCCAGTAACAAGGGAGATAGTCTTGATTACAACAATTACTGTGCACTGTGGGAAGACCTGAAGAACCAAGTTGGAGACAGATTCTCCTGCTGAAAACATCTAGCTAGATACTTGTTAAGGACAGACACTGACATGATGGCACATAATCAATCAATCAATCAATCTTTCATTGTAACCATCCATATGCAATCAATAGCTACAAGCAATTTCTTCATAAACAGCACATAACTGCAAGACTTCGAGAGAACAATTCCATGTTTAATACGATTAACGCTTTAATATGAAAGCAGCCCATTTCAGAATATCTGGGCTCAAAGACGACTGAAGGGGTGGACAAGCATTCTTCATGTGGATGGGCTGCTCCTCACTGCTCAGATAAATGAATATTACCTTTTTGTGAGAAACTAATAGATGGGATACAGCTTAATCTTCCAGCTCTGCAGTGTCTCTCTTCTGAATCTGTCCTGGGTTTGTTTGTTTGTTTGTTTCTGGTAATTATTGCTGGTAATTTA